ATTCCATTTGTTGGAATGTGTCAAATCGCGAGCGCGTCACTTTAGAGATTGCACGTTCGTTGATTGTGCAATGCCGCCGAAGATTGATCCAACCGCTATTACAACAGGTGAGGTGATGCTTGCGCGTTGTTATTGCCGTGTGACGTGTGTGTCTAGTGTTCTTGCGTGTGACTGGTGGCGAGGTGGCTGCAACTTCGGCGCTGGCGCCGAAACTGGGTCCGTTGGGTCTGCCACCCAAGAAGGTGGCGGACGACATCGCCAAGGAAACGGCGGACATGAAGGGTCTCCGTCTGACAGTGAAGCTGACTATTCAGAATCGGCAAGCGACGGTGTCGTTTGTGCCCACCACTTCGGCGTTGCTGATTAAGGCATTGAAGGAGCCGGTGCGTGATCGGAAGAAGGTGAAGAACATAAAGCACAATGGCAATATCACCTTTCTTGATGTCCTTGAGGTGGCACGCGTCATGAGACCACGTTCGTTGGCCAGAGAACTTGCAGGCACCGTGAAGGAGGTGTTGGGTGCGTCTTCTTCACCCATCATTAAATATGTTTTAATGTGTGCTACTCCTATTAATGCTTTCTGCATGTTTTTCTGATTGCTTCCTGTTTTCTCCTTCTTTCTGTTTCCCTTTTGATCGGTCTTTGGGCCTTCTCGCGACTGATTGGGATCGAATGCAATCGGTTTGCGCGGTGTAGGAACGGCCCGTTCTATCGGCTGCTCCATCGACGGGGAGACGCCGCAGGCAGTGATTGAGAAGATAAACTCTGGGGAGATTGTGGTGGCTGATTAGACTTTTTTTCCTGTTTGCACCCCATTGTCCCTGTCGCGGCGACTGACTGTTTGAGCGAGGTGATAGTAATAAATGGACACCCTTCCTTCCATTGGTTGGTTGGAAGGGTGTTATGTCATCGGTACCGGCGGTTGTGCTTGTCCCCGTTTGTTAATTTGTTTGATGGAACCGCCAGGGTCCACTCAGCCCTCCATCCCACCGAGATTGGGTCGGTAAAATGAGGAGTGCGGTCGCATCTGAGACGCATTCGCCTTCACTGCGCTCTCTGTCCTTATTCCTTCTCCTGTCGTCTCCGTAGATTCGATTGTTTCGGCGAGAAGGAGGAGGGGGAGTGGATGAATGGCGTCTGTGTGGATGCGTCCGTGTGCTCTGCGCCTTGGTGCAGTGTGCTCTAGTGTGGTGCATCTAAGTTAGGTGTTTTTATAAGTTTCTGCTTAGTTTTGTTTTGTCATGGTTTCGATTGTAGTCTGTCCTCGCCCCAGTTGGTGTTTGGTTATGCTTTTATCACTTTTCTGGGAAATATACCATTGTTGTTGTTATTTGTGGTTTTCCTCTTGTTTGTTATTTGGTGGGATAGCGTGGTTCGTGGCGGTTGATTGTTTGTTTGTTCGAGTTGCTGTAATCGGTGGTTCGGTGTTGATGCGGCAGTGTTTGGTTGGC